TCCAGTATTTGATATGGGCTGCTGAACAGCAAGAGTTCTAAAAGGAAAAGTTGATTATTTTGCATCATAGAGCTATAAAATTACTTCACGTACTACAACAGAAGTGGTAAAAATAGTATATAATTTTTATTGTGGCTGTAGAACTTAAAATACAACAAAGATAAACGACGAAATCAATTTAATCCTATGAAGAACAATGGCTTATTAGAAAAATAAGAATAATTCTTAACAGACGTGTCCCCAAACTGCATTATGGGTTAAAAATTAAAGTGTTGATCATTAGGTTGAGTTAAAGTGTTGAAATCTGTTGACCACTCTCAGTAAATCTGAATTCCGTTGTCATGCAGCTTAAAATAACATTCAATAAGCACAATAAAAATAACTATAAATTGAACTGAAATTTGTAAAAATATACATTTTTGAAAGTTTTGGACTTCAGGGGAGGCGGGAATTACTGCTTTCTAAGGAATTTACATTTACATAATAAAATTCCTTTTCGGAGAGCAAAATGTGATTTTACAATTAATTAACTTATTTTTTATCGATGAAAAATGATAAATTTATGCGCTAGAGATCACGTTCTAAATAGCGCATGAAATTACGTTTCGGAGAAAGTCCAACATTTATGTGAAACCTCATATGCTACGTTGTCGAGCATTAAATTTTGGAAGCCATAAATGGCATAAGACTATTAACTAAGATGAATCAGCATCCTGAAAAATAGAGCTGAAACTATTGGAACTATAAACAATTTCATATATTTCTAAAATAATAATTTTAAAATCCTTAATTCTCGCTTTTTTTAATATCACAATAAAAAAATCTGTTATGTACACCACATGACTTCCTAGTACGGAATATTAAATTACCGTGTTTGGCGGCGTATAAGACGCACTTTTTACTTCCTTGTACGAAGTAAAAAGGAAGTATTGTAATCGCGAAAAGTTTCAGGCAGCATATTTCAACGAAAATATCCATTTTGACCGCTATCGAATGCAATTTAACGATGTTTTTGCGTCATATCTGTACGTAAGGACAGAATAAAATACTCTTTTCCTCTTCAAAAAAATTATAAAACTGCTTTAAAATTAATTCTGAAGAGAATTTTTCGTGGCGCCTGTACGAACGTATGTACGTACGTTCGTATCTCGCATAACTGAAAAACGAGTAGCCTCAGAACGTTGAAATTTTGTATATAGGACTGCTATAACATGTAGATGTGTACCTCGTATTTTGGTTGCAATCGGCCGCACCAAACGTATATAAATATATTTATATATACATCGACTCTATTACCCGGCTCAGTAATCACAGTTTCTTTACTCTTATATGTTTGTAAATTGTGCATTTTTTGCTTTAAAAATGATTGAATTATGTTGTTTTTAATCTTCCGGTTAAGGATTTTATGCCTTTAGTAATTCTGTGTCAATATTTTTTGAATTATCAGCAATTTTAAAGTTGTTTAATTGCCGCTAAGCTTTTAATGGCGGCCATTGATGTTTACATTTGAAACAGGAGACTAGTGGATTTGTTGCCAATCTAGAGAAACTTAGCTTCACGACAACAAAGATAACGCATTCATTTATTATTGCCAATTAAATCATGCTTAATTCTTTCTGGAATTTTTTCGAGGAAATAAGCGTTTGAGATTTACTTCGTAATTTTTAATATAGATATTTTGAGTTTTTATGTATTTTTGCCTTCGAAGTGAGAACTGAATTCGAATTTTCGCGAAGTGAGAACTGAATTAATTAAATGAGAAATACTCAAAGTGAATTTTAAAGAATGCATTTATTCTATTGTGGTTTATGCGCTGTCGGCGAAGTAGGTTTAATTCAATCTAATAAGTTTAAATAAAATGCAAGAAAAATGAGTATAATTTAATATTCCGTACACGGAAGTCATGTGGTGTACACATCAGATTTTTTTCCTTTGAAAAAAATAGGTAATAAAATAGGAAAAAAATAAGAATGGGCTGCGTCTTATACGTCGATACTCAGTTTTTAATTGCATTTATGTCTGGAAATTTCCTCTGTTCTCTAGTTTTTTCCTTGTTTCCTTGCGGAGTGTGGGAATATTACAGTTACGTAGAGTTCAGTAAATGCACATGCGCTGTCATCGACGATCACAGCTGGGTTCATTAAAACTTCCCAATTTTTGTGAACGATTTTTAAGTGTGTGAAATTTTCTGCTATTAAATTTTCTTAATTATTTTGGCAAGTTATGGCTCAAAATCAACGGCGGCATTGATATAACATAGCATACAAGCTATGTGTCATTGCGTATGCTGAAGAACTTGGAAACAGGGCTGCAGAGATTCATTTCGGGTCACCCCCTCCCCAACTGAGAAAATAATAAGAACTTGGCGGAATCAGGAAGAGGATCTAAAGGAAAAGCGACTCACAGTAAACCTAACACCTTCGAATGAAGGGGAACTGCACAATGCCCTGAACTTGAGGCAAAGCTGAATATTTGGATTTTAGATTGTCAGGACTAATATGTCTTTTGACTTCTTTAGGGAATATGATGTGTCCTGAATAGGAACAGGAAGCTTAATAAAGCCATGTTCAAGTATGTGTGGAATGGACGACACAAGCAGGAAGGGTTTACTTTACCCTTTATTCTCTATAAGATCACAGGCACATCGGGATACAGAGACCAACAACTTGTGGTCTGAACGTAAGAATATAAAACTACTAACTAAAATTCTAAATAAGAGCTAACTTTGAATTAGTTTAGAAATGCCTAACACTAAGACTGGCCTTTTTAAAAGGTTACGTATGTAGTACGCAACTGCTGAAACTACAATACGTTTTAAATATCAAGAGGATTAAACCTCTGGCCTTAAAGGCAAGCAGCAACTGATTGAAAACTCGTACAGAATGCAAGGCGACTCACTTTCCCCCCCCCTCTCTCTCTAACTCTTGGCAAAAAGCCACAACTTAAATACTTGGGCGTTATGATCTTAGCATATTTATTATTTACTTAGCATATCTCGAATGTACCACTCTATAATTTTTTTCTTTAGTCTCATTATAACGATATGGCTTGTGGCGAACTGGCAGTGAATCTCCTGTGTCGATTTCGTGATTTGTAACTTGCGTAAATAGCTTGCGGACTATCACTGAATAAAGTAGAAAATTTACTTACCACTTGGCGTAGTTTTTCTTGCTCTTCTGTAGGTAGGTGTTGGAGATTCAGTGGGGGGGGGGCTCTGCAAAAACACACTGACGGTGCAGAAAGAATTAATTCACTATTCTGCTAAGTTTCAAACGTAAACAAATATGGCTGCTATGGTAAAAAAAAATTAGGCTTAGCCGCACTTATGTTGTTGATTAACCAAAGCCATAAAAACCTTAACCAGAAGATAAGAACAACATAATTCAATCGTTTTGAAGGCAAAAAATGCACAATTTACAATCATATAAAATAATAATAAAAAAAAACTGAGCTCACTGAGCCGAGTAACAGAGTGGTGCGGCCGATTGCAAGGAGAAAAGGAGGTGCACAACTACGTTTTATAGCAGTCCTACTATATACAAAATTTGAACGTTCTGAAGCTACTTATTTTTGAACTGTGCGAGATACATACGTACGTGCATACGCCACGAAAAAATCTGTTCTGAAGCCATTTTAAATCAGTTTTATAATTTGTTCTGGGAAAACGAGTCCTTTATTCTGGCCCTTACAGATGTCACGCAAAAACATCGTTAAATTGCATTGGTAGTGGTCAAGGTGGATATTTTCGTTGAAACATGATACCCGGAAGTTTTCATGTTACAATACTTCCTTTACTTCGTAGAAGGAAGTAAAAATACGCATACACGACACAAAACTGACATGAAGAAAATGTTTTTATTCAGCTGTGGAGGGTATTCTAAATTTCATTATGATAAAATTGTTAAATCAGTATCATAACCGTAAGCATATTTCACAAATGCACATCTGTGTAGCTACCGAGGGAGTGGCTCCTGGGATGGACCAATGAGCATCCAGTAACATTTCTGTCATGTCACATGACCTTTCCCGTGCTTTAAGATTTAAACAAAATGGTTGAAAATATTCTGCCGCGCAATTTTCTGTACAAAATAATTAAAGTATCGTCGATTGCTTCTGAAACTTTTCATTGCAAAGTTAGATCAAATATAGGAAATTATGAAAATTTCACTACCTTGTTGAAATAAATACAAACGATGTTGGATACTTCGCAAATATCGAGTGAAATATCACTTATAAGTGGTAAATAAGATGAAGAAGAAATAACGTGATAAACATCTGAGCCCAAATACAATCTTTACATAAAACTATGCGTATGAGAAAAAAATTTACACCAATTATATATGTAAATAGAAGTCAGCACTTTTTATTTCAGTCTATATGAAAAAGGTGTTCTTTAATAATAACCAATGCAGAATTTTATTCAAAATGAACTTTACTAATTTGCATTCGTATACATTTAGTGCTTTACATTTCACATTTAATTTTCGCTTTTACAACTGCATTTATTTGTGGAACACTTCCTTTTGCAATGACAGCATGTACATATATTCCTCTCCTTTCGACCTACACCAGAGCATATCTGTGATTGTCGACATACACCGGTGAAGGTCCGAATGTACAAGAATGTAATGCAATATTCGATCTTTCACCGACGTATTTGGTGAATGTTGACATTCTCCGGTGAAAGTCGACATTCTCCAATTTCGGTCTTTCACGGTAACACATATATAATTAGTAATTCTTTCCTGTATTTGGGGGCAGAGGGGGGGGTAGTGATTTCCACGCGTGGATCCATTTGACTTCTCAAACACGACACCAACCAAAAAGAGGGGAAAGAGAAAAGCAGTGCTATATATTGTGTAATGTTTTTTCCTTAAATATAGTGTATTATATTATAAAGTATTTTTATAACATAAATTAATATATATTAAATAATATGTTTGTAAATGGATTTTTTTTTTTTTTTTTTTCATGCAACTATTTGAATTTTCACCTTGCAGGACCATAATAAGGTAAGTTCAGTTTACTATCTATTTGCTATTATTAATTCTAATACTAAATTTAATTTCATTTTGCATATTTTCATTTTCATTTTGTATATATTTTTCATATAAGTTCTGTGTGTTTTGAAAAAGTATTCCTTCTCTTCATTTTGTTTCAAGTTTATTTCAGTGTTCGTATCAATTAAGCACTTTTTAAATTTGTGCTGTAGTATTGCTAAAGTTTTTTTTTTTTTTTTTTCTGTATTAAGATGTATGTACATTTTGCATTATTTTCATCAGCGAATTATTTTTAATGAAAATGTATATAGTATTTTGTTTTTACGCCTACGTTTTCTAATCCATGCTGTTTTCTTCATTGATATGCTGGTTATTGCCACATCTTGGACTCTTCACGACCTTTATACCACAGTTCGTAAGTATTCTGTAATTTCTTCAATTAGTTATCATTATGTTAATATATGTTTTTGTATTGTATTTGCCGTTTAAGCATTATTTTGAAATTTCATCAAGCATTTTATTTCGTATATGCCTGCTTTGTTCAGCAGAAGAGAAATTTTTCAGAGAAGTAGATGATTTGCTATTTTTGCTAGTAAAATATCTTCGGATGTGTATTAGTTTTGGAAGCTGAAGCAAGGGGGTAGATTTTTCATTACTTCATTAAGTGATCATTAAAATTAAACAGAACGTGGATTTTTATTTTAATAAATTCTACCGATGTCAAACATAGCTTCCTCTTCTTCAGAAGCAAAAATGTTTTTTTTTTTTTTTTTTTTCAAAACAAAAGTGGGAAAGTCACAGGCATTTTATATCAAAAGCAATGGGCGGAGCTAAACGAACGAATTTTTTGAATATGAAAAGATTCAAGGAAATCGCATATATAAATTGAGATTTTTTTCTTTAAGTTAATAAGTTAATAACAGGTATTTCAATTATGAACGCTTTGAGACGCTTTATAACATTTGGAGACTTGTAATATCTTGGTTTCTCACGTTTCTTTGCTATTTTCTGTGGCAAATAGTTCTGTATTCATTTTCAATTTGCTCTGCTCATTGGTTCTGACATAAAATGGTTGTCGTTGCTCCAGTTTTTGCAAAATATTTTTTGCCGTGAAGAAGAGGTTCCTGTGTCTGATAACCTTCGAAATCGATTGAGTTTTAAAATCTAGGCGAAGGTAAGGTTACTCTTTTACTAAATTTTAAATTGGCTTGTTTCCCTTTTAATCTCTCTGTTTATTAATGTTGTAGGGACATTTGGAAGCAAGAGATGGGAAAAAGGAGAAATGGCCTCGCCGGAACTCAAACCACGGACCTTTCGAATACGCGCCGAGCGTGCTGACCACTACACCACGAAGACATGCTAAGAAGGCAGGAGAAAATACCTTATATACTTCCCCTTTTAAAGAGTGACTATGGATTAAGAAATGTGCAATAACCTCGCCGGGACGCGAACCACGGACCTTTCGAATACGCGCCGAGCGTGCTGACCACTACATCACGAAGGCATGTTAAGAAGGCGGGAGAAATACTTTATAATGTTATTGTCTTCTTATTATGATCTGTTTATAACGTTAAACAAATAGTTTACAATTAAGTTTAGTTAAGGATCCATATATGAATTTCATTACTTCGATAAATACGCACAAGTTTGTATGGATATTTAGTTTGACATACCAGCTTTTGTTATATTTTTTTCTGTAAACTGTATGCCACTAATAAGATATTCTCAAGCAGATGTTCTGTATCTGCCAGATGTGACATTATAAGTCTTGAACGACAGTATCGTCACACATTGAAATCTCTGCTCGATATGAAGCAAATTTTTAAAACTCGGAGATGTATGTCTTTTTGTAATGGTCAAATATCTATCATTGTAGGCTTGGTTTTCGTGATGTCCTAAATATCTATCATTGTAGGCTTGGTATGAGTAAGATTTTGCAAAGATCATGAAGTTAACAGAAAGTCTTGTCCTTTTTAAAAAATACAGATTGGGAAGCCGCCTCCGATGTCAGGAGGTGTTTCTGGGGAAGTGTTCTCATGTAAGCACCTTGCCCTCGACCTTTGTTGGTCGTCGAGGTACCTCTTCTGTCTTGCACACCCACGATATTCCACGAGCCATGGAACGTGGTCTCATCCGCCTTCGCGATTATGATATTCGTCCAACTCACCCACCCGACTCGTGTCACTCAATTACGTCACAGCGGGCAGTCCGCCCATAATAGCCATCAGACTGTTAAAAACGAAGGACTTGCTCGTTCATTTCGAAAACGCAATTAACTGCGTAGACACCTCTCCCGTGGTTGGAGGAGATTTGTATACCTTGTGCTTTTAAACGGATCCTTACGAGCAACCCACCCGCGGAGGGGAATACCTCCATATTTCACTTTTCTGCCCCCATTTCTGTCTTACTGATCGTTCTGCCTTATTTCAGATGAAATTATGGTCCTTCTTCCATCCTAATTTCTTAAGAAAGTAGAGGCCAGGAAATTAATCTCCAAGTGCTTATTGTGGTAGGCCTCGTACTTGGAGCCAAACTGTAGAAACCATTTGGAACTGCGAGTAATTTGAATATTTTGCGACGTTCAATAACGATATGTTCATGGTTATTAAATTCATAATGAGTAATTAATAAGTCATAATGAGTGTAATTTTAAGAAGATTGTCCTTTTCTGGTGTAGCTTTGAACTGAAAGTATCTGAATGTTTTGCTAACTGCTTGAGGCACTAAATGCTCTTTGATGCTTTCAGATTTTAGAAAAATAATATTTAAGTGACTTTCAGATGACATTTTGATTTAGAGAATAAAGTTTTTTGCTTTAAATATTGAGATAAAATGTGGATCATTCGATCTTCTGCTCTTAAAAAGCGGATACATTACTCTCGAAGCAACAGTACAGGAGGGTCAACAGTTTTCAACATGCACTATATATATCCAGAATTAGGATTTCTCTTATCGAATTTATGTCTTTCTTCTAAAAAGTCTAGCTTTCAAGATATTTCTTTATAATTTTTCGCATACTGCAGCTTCTCTTTGCACAAGTTTTATTAGAATTTTAATGTGCGCTGCTCTGTTTTAACATTTGGAGTTTTGCAAATAGTCGAATAGTCCTAGAACTAGATCTTTTAAGGTTCGAAATAAAAGTTTTACGCAGTCATGATGAAATACGTTTAATAATGAAATAAATAATTATGCAGTCTGGAAATATTTTTACGGAACTTGGGTAATCCACAAGAATTAAAATTTGCGGTACAAATTTTGCATTTATGTTTCAACTGCTATTCGTATTTGAAAAATAGGAGCAGGAGATTGGTGAACACATGTTGAGACGTACGAAGGGAAACTGTGGAAAGCTTAATTTTTGCAAGAAAATATCTTCGTGAAGGTTGTTAGCGAATCATCTGATGAAATGGCATCTTAAGATGCTAAATAATACTCGCATAATTTGTAACTGCTAGGTAGCAGCCTCAAAAATTGCAATTAATGACGCCACATCCCATTTTCAGTGTAACCTTGTTTCTGTCAGAGTTGTAAAGATACGTTATTAACATTTTAAACTCTGAATTTCAAATTAGGCCTTCAGTGTTAAACTGGAAAAAGAATGGTTTAGCGGTATTCTATAAGAATATACTTCATATGCACCGTTTATCATTTGATTTTGTTTTGAAGGTTTAATAACTGTTTCACAAATTTGGCGAAAAGACGTCATATTTGTTTGGAAGACGTGGGATAGAATGAGTGATAATGAAGATTTTGAATAATTGAAAATTTGGAATAAGGAAATTGTTGTTTCCCCCTGACAATATCCGCCCCCGGCTTCATTCTAGTAACAATGACGTAGATAGTAGCAATTATAATAGTGAAGTTCTTGTCTGAAGCAATTTTTGTTTTTATCAGTGGCGGGCCCTCAGCCGACTTCGACTTGGCCATTACTTTTTCTTATATGTAACAGTACAAATTATGTAACTGCGAGAATTCGTAACTAAGTATCAAATATACGGTATATCATTGGTTTGTAACTGAATTCATAATGTTGTAACATACATAATGCCGAAGGTTGGTGTTGTAATTGCATTTAGCTTGACCTTCGTACTTTTAATCACAAGATTTTGTAACCTTAATTATGCACTAGATCAAGATCATTATTACTTTGTTTCTTCTTCACAACTGTTTATTTTCCTATTGTATTAAGCTTATAATATCTGAATGTTTCTTTACTTGCTTCAAGCAAAGATGACTATGTAATTATTTTTTGGATTGTGACTCTGTAGCTTGATTATGTTAAATTAATGCCTGTCTGATCTGCCTTGGCCAACTGAGGCTGTGGCGGAGTTGGTAGTAGACTGATCAGGCACTATTCCGCTTTGTAATCTTGGGTTGGAAGCCTGCTTATTGGTGCTATATGCTATATATGAAGGGACGGACAATTACCGTCATGTCTTCTCCCGGGATTCGAACCCGGGACTTTTGTATTGCAGTTGGCTTCCTTAACACGTTGAGCGCCATGTCAGCCATCTGTGGCTGATACTAGATTTTCCGTTTACGCCGCATCAGCCATGTGTGGCTGACGTTAGACTTTCCGTTTAGACCGCGTCAGCCATCTGTGGCTGACACTAGACTTTCCGTTTAGGTCGCGTCGACCGCTGCTGGCTGACAGCGTGTAACATAATATATAACTATACAATTTACTCTGTTTTATGGAATTAGAAAAATTATTAAAAATTTACTTAATTTTGATTCATTACAGGACTAATAGATTTCATTGAAGCATAAAAACGGTTCTCCATTACAGCTATTACAAATTGTAACAACTGTCTTAGTCTTTTTTCTGGCCATTAACTCTGCCAGCTTTGGTTGCATTTTTATCATAACATAATTTACAATATTTCCGTACTTCAGAGGCTTTTTCCGGTTTTCTTTGGAGTTTATGCTGTCGTTTTGTTAGATGTTCCTGCATTTCTGTTCGATGGAATATCTTCTTTTTCACAACTTGTAAGGGATAGCGCTAATTCTTTCCGGACTTCAGTAATGCTAATTTTCTGCTTCATAATATCTTTCTATAGAATGTAACTATTTACAAAACAGACTTTGCGCGTAACATGTTGAATGAATGCCTATAGGAATCACGTTCCAATAGGCATTAACTATCTTTGTAAACTAAACTATCTTCTACTGCGATAAGAATTGCTGGCCCTACAATACCAGCGCTTTTAAGCGGCGCGCGTGGCCTGAATGGGATTGCCTAAGAAATACGCTTGGCGCTCAACGTGTTAACCACTATACCGTCTGGGCGGCGACCGAAGCAACGTAAAGGTGATAAAATATCTTAGAGCAACAGAAATACAGTTAAGCAAGGTGGAGAAAGATGGGAGGAAAATCTCAATAGAAATCTGACTGAAGACTGTGCTTTCTCAAAGAA